AAAAATTCCAGTAGAAATTATAAAGCAATTATCAATTATAAAGTTACATTTTTAACAATTTTCGTGCTTCTAAGGTACGTATGTCTAAATATATTCTCGTTTTTAGCAGTCGGGGTGATTTTGTGCCTCACTGTTTACAGGCAGAATTTTTTAAACGACCCGAAATTTAAAAAAAAAGGAGATCATAAGCTTACAACTATAAACACTTGAATGGGTTCAGAGGTTGAACTGAACCTTAACGACAGATACTTAACCAGACCAAACGATTCCAGGATTTTTACACTCAAGAAAAATGGGGTTTTAAAAGTTTCGCTAGAAAAATTGGGAAGAATCTACCCAAGTGCGCTCTCCCACAGAACATTTCCGAACTGCAAATTAATTTTTGATCTACAGAAAAAAAAAATTTGGCGCGATCACAATTGCAGGTCTAAAACCATAATTTCAGAATTTTTAATCTGATTTTGTGGAGTTCCAAGATGATTCAAATGATTCTTTAAAAGTTAATTAGTGGTTATAGATTCATGTATAGTCGTTTTCCGGAAGAAAAAAATGTCAAAAATGGTCATTTTTGAAAGTTTTTTACAGAAAAAATCTATCTCCTCTTTCAGTTTTTGACATTTCTAGGAGTTCTATAGCTCAGAAAAACCGCAATCATTTTTTCTACATTTTCTATGATGAATTTTTAGTTTGTCTGATAAAACTTTTTTATAATCAAAAAACAACGCAAAAATTCTATTTTGTGCAATTTCATGAGGTTTTTGAATTATAAAAAAGTTTTATCAGACAAATTAAAAATTCATCCATAGAAAATGTAGAAAAAAATAATTGCGGTTTTTTGAGCTATAGAACTCCTAGAAATGTCAAAAACTAAAAGAGGAGATAGATTTTTTCAACAAATAACTTTCAAAATGACCATTTTTGATATTTTTTTTCTTCCGGAAAACAACCATACATGAATCTATAAACACTAATTAATTTTTAAAGAATCATTTGAATCATCTTGGAACTCCACAAAATCAGATAAAAAATTCTGAAATTATGGTTTTAGACCTGCAATTGTGATCGCGCCAAACTTTTTTTGTAGATCAAAAATTAATTTGCAGTTCGGAATTGTTCTGTGAGAGAGCGTGCACACAGTAACTTACCGTAAAGCCTTTAATAGATGGGCCCACACTGTCAAGTTTGAGCTGAATTATCTCAATTCCTATACGAGATATTTAAAATGTGACAACTAATAAAATATTTGTGATTTTATGATAAACAATTTATCAGTTGGAAACTTTTTGATGTCTTTAACAGGAACCGAGATAATTGACCTCAAAGTGCATGTATAGGGGTTTTAAAAACTTCGCATGGATTCTCGGATTTTCGAGAAGTACTCACGGCAAGTCTTATTTTTCTAGTTCCTAGAATTTGCATGAGGCACTTCCCGCCTTCAAATCTATAATAATATCATCCCAAAATTTTCAGTGCAAATACTACTACGACAAATACAAACTACACCGTATCTCAGCCAGTGTTCTTCTGATCCTCTACTCATTTCTGGGTGCCTGGGTCTTTTATTATTTTGAACATGATTACGAAAAAGAGGTCAAGCAGTAAGTTATTTTTTTCGTTTGTTTTTCTAACCGTTGACATTTTAACTAATTGCTTTTCTCTACCAATTGATCAACAATCTCTGATTTCAACGTTTTTTTCTTGTTTGCAGAAAAGAGAGAACCGATCTCCGGATGCTTCGAAATGACACTTTTCAACGGATTACATCAATGGTGTTCAGACAGGGATCCACTCCAAACTTTGAGTTTGTGACGGGAGAAAAAAAAATTGGGTCAAAAATAAATGAGAGAAACTTTCAGAGATGTCTTCATTGAGTATGAGAAACGACTTCATAAAGTTCGATTACCGGAATGTTTGGATTGGGATTATTGGGGTGCATTGTTCTATGTGGGAACTTTATTTACAACGATTGGATACGGTAATATTGCTCCGCGAACTGCACTTGGAAGAGCTGCATCTGTGATCTATGCAATTGTTGGTAAGTGTGGGTCTTTTGGATCTTTGAGTATAAGGATAACTGTTCTCCAAACAATCAACTTTGAGCTCAATTATCTCCGTTCTTTCGGAAGATATCACAATTTTCCAACTGATAAATGTTTATCACAATATCAAAAATACATTATCAGTGGGCAAACTTTCGATATCTCTCATAGGAACCGAGATAATTGAGCTCAAAGTTGACGAGATGAGGAAATACGATATATCATTAGATCACTTTTCTAATCCAGTGTTTTTAGGTATCCCGCTGGTGCTCGCAATTCTCTCAAAATGCGGAAAATGGATGACAACTTCACTCTCGGTTTCTTGGCAACAACATCGTCTTCGAATCAAAGAAAAGGCAAAGAAAACGACGAATCGATTGAGAGGAAAGAAAATTAAGTAAGAATATCAAACTGAATGTACAGGATGTGAAGTAATTTCAGAGCGAAGCTGGAAGCGTTGGAGACTGGAAATCCAATGGGATTAGAAGGGTTAGAGGAGCTGGAACTCGAGTCGAGAACTATTCCAATCTGGTTGGCATTGCTCATTTGTGTTGTCTATGTTTGTGGATGCTCATCGCTTTTCTTGCTCTGGGAGACTAGATGGACATTTTTTACCAGTCTCTACTTCTTCTGTATTTCACTTTCCACAATTGGTCTTGGTTAGTTTCTTCTTTATTTTTGAATAAAAACAAATTGCTGAAAAAAATTTCTGTGAATCTCTTTTCGAAATACCGTAAACACTTTAATAGAACACTACTCAAACAGTCTATGAGAGTGTTTACGGTATTTTCAAGGATACTGTTTATCGGTTTAAAACCAAAAAGTCAATAACAGCCTAAAATAAGAACTCGAACTAATAAAAACTCGAACTAATAAGAACTCGAAAAATACGAACTCGAACTAATAAGAACTCGAAAAAAAAGTAAATGATAAGAACTCGAAAATTCGCAAAAGTCTTGATTTTCAGGAGACATCGTACCGGACAAACCCCATATGTTCATCATCATGTTTGTTCTTGTCATCGTCGGACTCAGTATCGTTTCCATGTTTATATCAGTTGTCCAAATCAAAATGGAAGAGTGGTTGTATCATTTGATCAAGAAAATTCAAGTAAGAACCCAGATTTTTTAAAAATATAATTCCAAATTCGAAATTCCAGAGAGAATACACCCAAGCAATTGAAAATGGAGAATTTCCGGATAAAGGAGAACTTTATAAAAAGATATTGGAGAAGGAGTCGCCGTGGATGCAGCTCGTTGGGCCCACTATAATGTCTGGACAGCAAAATAATAAATTGGAGAATACTGTGGAAAAGTTTGAGCGGCTTCTCAAAGAAAGTAAAGAGATTCAAACCGAACTTTCGAATCGAGGAATGTCGACTCAAGTTGAGAAGTATGAACAGGTAAATCTGCTGAAAGAATTATTTTTTCGTTATTTTCTATTTTTAGAGCATGGCTTGTGATCCAATGAGCAATGATTTGAAGCCGGAAGAGCATCGGGAGACTCAATGGTCGAGGTAAATGAGAAAGAATCATATCAGATTACAAAAAAGATATATCTATTTCAGGCAAATGGTCGATGAAACTGTCGGACCATCAGAGAAAATGGAAGAGTTAAAGTTACAAAGAAACGATGCCACATCGATTTCCAGAAGATCTAACGACTACAGGGATTCGATTTCGGATGCAACTAGTTTGCCAATGGACTCAATGAGTTCCCCTGAAATGAAAAAGAAAAACAAAATGGTGAGGGACACTGAACTAGTAAAATTCAAGCAAAATTCGGGAGTCCAGAAATACCGTAATACCTGTAATAGAAGGCCTTCATAATTTTAAATTTTGAGATTCCTGGGAAAGGTATTAAAATGCCCGATTGATAAATTGCTTGTCATGATATCAGAAGTGTTTTTATAGTTGACACATTTTTGATAACTTGCATAGGAGCCAAGAAAAAATAACTCGAATTCGACATTGCGGGCTTTTATTGCTGGTTTTGCGGTACTAAAAAATTGTGGATCGCTTAGGAAAACACAATTTTTGAGGATCCAGTATCGTTTGTTTCAGGCATGCGCGAACTGTCAATGTGATATTCCATCTGTTGAAAACCATTCACCTATTCGTCCAGCTCCAGAAACTCGTACAGATGGAGTTGCACAAACCGATTTGGCCCAGTTTCAAATTGATGAAATCGCAATAAAACTTGCAAATCTACAGGTATTTTTTAATCTTCACAAACTTTTCAATCAAAATATTTTTAGACCCAACGAGTCCGCCCGCCAATTGTTGAAATGGCTACGTCGGCATTCATGGAAGATTCCCCAGTCCATTCGGAAGCTCTCGATCTGCCACGTGGATTGTCACCAGAGGAGATCAATAAGATTTGTGAGGCGATGAGTAATTCGTTTTATCAGGTCAGGGAGATGGTAAATTAAAAAAGTGAAATTGAGTTTTTTTTCAGAACAGCCAGGAAGCCTTGAAGCAGATAACTGATGTTGGTGTTGGAAAGGACTATGAGACAAATTTCCAGGATAAATCCCAGCTCACAAGTTTGACTCTTCCAGTACCTGTTAGATCCTCTACAGCTAATTCGAGTACTTCCACAACTCCTCCCTCCCGTAATTCAATTGCCACGTCACCAATTGTTTCTCTCTGTGAAGATTTTAAAAAAGAACAGAAGCAGAAGCAGATGAGGTCCATGTCCACCTCCCCCTTCCCTGGAAACAGTATGCAAGAAGAGGAGACGCAGACCTCGCTGTGAGTTTTTCCGAAACCATCTTAAATCTCCGTCAATGTTTTATAGAAGACAAAATCTGGTAAATGTTGCCACAGATCCATGTACTTCACAACTGATACAACGATCAACCGTTACGTCACCAGTAGGAAGAGATGACGCGGAAACTGTAACTATACACATGAGAAGTAGACAGAAAAAACAAGTGATGTTTCAGGAAACGTCACAAAGCGTTCGAATCGAAATGATGGACAGAATGGTGTCCCCCGTCGTCTCGACAGCTAACCAAAGAGATCAAAACACATCGCCGATTGAAAAGTCTGCTGACTATGTAATCTGATACTCTGGAAGTTTCTTCGTATCTTATCATATTTTTCAGGATGATCGAAGTATGCAAACATCGATCAGCGATTGGTTCGGGAAAATTCTAAAAAGAAAAGACGAATCACAACAAACATCGATATCAGAAGACGTTGGAAAATCAAAGGATAAGAAGAAAAAGAAGGTGTCAAAAGAGGAGAATAGTCAAGCGTCGTCTTTGGGTTCAGATGTCTTAACGTCTTCCAATACATCATCTGCTTCTGAATCTTTGAAAGATTCTGAGAAAAAGAAGAAAAAGACATTTATAGCTCCGAATATGTCGGCAAGTGTCTCAATGAGTACTCAATATTCTCCACCCCCAGGATGTGATCGGTTATCTGTAGAACCCTACAGTACTCGAGCAAGAAGTTCGTCGACCAGTGGAATGGGTACAAGTATATTTGAAGAAGAGACAAGACAAGAAGTGATAGTGCAAACCGATGATTCTTATCTGAAAATCGCGAGACGACTGGATGAGTATAGGAATAACAAAACACAATTTTTGCCAGTTTGTGCAGCAGCGCCGTTGTCTTCCAAAGAAGTCGAACCGTTCAAGTGAGTACATTAAAACCTGTATTAGAAGGACTGACTCTTCCATTACAGGGGTACTTCCTTTTTTTGTTAGTTTCGGAAAATGTTCGTTGAAAAATTCGGTAACTTGAAATTATAGACTCTCTGGAATATTTTACACTAACAACGTACGGAAATTTTTGGTTTCACTGTAATTGACAGGTTTCACTGTAATTGAGTCTACTTGAAGAAAATACATCTTCTGACTAAATAGAGTTGCCGTGAAACCTGTAATAGAAGGGCCCCTAAAACTTCAATTAAAGGAGGCGAGACAGCAAAAATTTCGGGGGACAGTTCGGGGGACGAAATCGCGCCGCGCTTATGTAGACCATCGGTCGTCAGACGCTTTCGCGCCCCCGTAGCTCAGCCGGTAGCGGCGCTGTACCCCTGAGCTGCGTGTCATGAGTTCAACCCCTCATGGGGGTTCTCTATGCAAAATATCAGGAAAACTTTTTTTTTTGGTGTCTGGCCTCCTTTAATAATTTGTTCATCAGAATATCACCAATATTTTATCAGTCAGTTTATCTCGGTTCCTGTGAAAGATTTTGGAAAATTTTCTACTGATAAGTTGTTTATCAGAATATCAGAAGTTTTTTGTCAGTTGACATTTTTTGATATTTTTCACAGAAACCGAGATGAATCAGCTCAAACTTTGGACCCTTCTATTACAGGTTTTACGCTAGTAGTTATGAGATTCAAACATTTTATGATGAGTTCTGAAAATGCTCATTAAGCCAGAACACTTCTAAAGATTAAAAAACGTAATATTTCCAGAAGCGACCGCCCATCTGAACGCAGTCATTATTACTTCGGTGGACGTCGTGCAAGCCGAAGGAAGTCACGTCAAGATCTGAAACATGGAGAATCTCAAACTGGACAATCCATGGATGCGGAACTTTTGAAAGAAGTTTTGGTAAGAAAAAACTTTCTTATTTTTATTTTCTCAATTTTTGAATTCAATTATTATACCTTTTATTCTTGCACATCTAATAATCACATTTAGATTGAAGAGGAATCTCCACCGAAGGGTAAGTTGAAGTAGCAAGTAGCAAGTCACATTGATTAACTTCTTAATTAATCAACAGCCACTACTTTATAACATTCTAAAAATTTCTAATTTTCCAAATCTAATTTTTTGTGTTTCATTACATATTTATTCTCTTCAAAAGGAGAGTGTCTTTTAAAAATCCATTTCCAGAGCTCCGAAAAAAGTCGGTCAATTTCGCCGAAACGACCATGTAAACAGCGAGGAATTCTCGCCAGACATCCATCTCTTCCAACTGGAATTTCTCGTGGAAAGGTATTTCATTTACAGTACCGTTCAATAAGTTTAACAAAGCGTATCTTTTAGTTGATTTTCCGCCATTTTGACCATTTTCAAAATTCTAGAGCACGGCTGTCAAGTTTCCAATCAATTTGAAAATTTTGGAGGAAGGAGAACAAACATAGATGAAAATCTTTCCTTTTCTTGAATTTTTCGAAAAATCCTAATTTTTCAGCTATTTGTTGATTTTTGAAACACACCTGTTTTTCAAGTTTTCAGTACAAAAATGGACAAAATAGGGTGTCTTAGAAATGAAATGAAAATATGTAATTTTCAAAAAATTCTGTTAATTCAAAGTTTTAAAAATGATCGGACACTTGACAGCCGAGCTCCAGACTTCTGAAAATGTTTGAAATGAACTGAAAAGTACGTTTTTGTAGATCATATTGACCGGTACTGTATGTCAGCAACTGAACTTTTTAAATTTGGAAACTGCAGGTCTCTGACTATGTGATTCAACACGAGAAAGGTATTCATAATCCAGCGACAAATCGACAGAGTCCAATCAAAATAATTCGTCAATATTCTCTGGATCAAGATGTTCTTTAGTGCCTCTTTTTTCATTCAATACCGGTAGTGTTCTTCAATACGGTTTTCTTGATTTTTTTTGAATTCCCCCCTTTTTTCTGTCTACACCTTAAAATATGCTTCTTCCGGAATACTCTATTATTGCTCCCCATTTTTCTTGCTCATTCTCTTATGTTTCTAGTCTACAGTTACGTTCTTCTTTTGTGTTATGGAAATGTTGTCTCCTATTGTTAATTGAATGAGAATCGGAAGGAAGAGAGAATGAAAGTTGAGTGGGAGGAGGTGAAAGCAAAGACAAACATCTGTCGAGCACACCCCAAGTAGGTCAAATGGGGAGAAACGGAATTTAAAATATGTACACGTGGAACTGGATTAGGGGCAAAAAGCAAATTGGGAATAGTTTCATGAGTCATCAGAAGGAGACAGTTTTCAAAAAATGTAACTAGTCTTTCTCGGAATAGAAACTCCGAACTATCTGATGAAAATGATCAGAAATCAAGGGGTTTCGGTTTTATTCGATGATGGAATTCCTGGTAAATTTCAAGAAAAATTAGGGAAAAATCCGATTCTTTCTAACTGTTTCGGGTCAAAAAATTCGAAAAATCGTAACTTTTTAGGCTGAAAATGTTAAAAATTTCAGAATACAAACCAAAAAACAAAAACTATAGTATCTGCTTTTTGCTACTCAAAGTTTAGAAATTTCCCGAAACGTAGCCGTGAAAATTACCATTTTCTAGATAAAAATTTCAGAGTTTCCTAGTCTAGGAAATTCTCTGAAAAAATCCAATTTTTTTCTGCAATTTTCTGCAAAGCGTCATCCGCTCATTTTCCATTTTCGGGCGTTTCAACGGTGCGGTCTGAAAATTGCCGATTTCAGATTTTTTTTGATAAGTCAATCTACCATTTTCTCTTCAGAATCTGAAGACGTCTGTTTTTGGTCCGAATCAAACCAGAATTATCGATATTGTCGGCTTCCGAAGACGTCAGAACCGAACTTTCAGATACAGGGGATGTCAATTTGAGATACAAAATTTTAGAATTTGTTGTCGATAATTCGTTGATTGCCAATCTTTGGATTTGGGATACCACAAAAATTAAGGAAATGTTTGATTGTTTATTTACCAGAATCAATTACATGATCTTGATTGATCCCTTCGGATATTGGAAAACCATGTGTGCCTGTGTTTCTCCAAAAGTTCTAAGCGATCAAAATGCAGAAAACAGTCGCACAACCCCTAGACGGCCCACGATCCAAGGGTACATCGAAAAAGGGTACATCGAGGGTACATCGAACCTATTCGAATTTTTAAAACTTTAGGTCCGTTGGAACATCACTTCTACAATAAAGTATGAAAATTCAACTATTCCCCGCATTGTCCGAGAAAAAATTTTCAACAGTTGTTATGATCTGAGCAGGTGAATTTTCTAAGTCAACCATCTTCCTAGATTCAGCTGGACTCAAGGTCTTTAATAAGCTAAAAAAACGAAAGTGTCACGTAGTTTTACATTTCCCATTAAAACAGTATCTCATAACTTGTCTGTCATCTCGAACTTGCCTTTCCTTTTCTCAACTACTCCAACTAAGAGTCCTTTTTTTGTTTGTCCTTGATTTTGTGTCAGTGTTATGATCCCATTTCGGGCTTGTCACCTCCTACTGAAACAATGACATTCCGCGAGGAAATTGTAAAATAAAAACTGAGAAGATGGAATTACTGTAGGGGCGGAAGATGATGGGGGAACTTATATAAAAACGAGGGAAACG